GCTCGCGCTCTTTCCTTTCTTGTTCCTGTTTTCTCATCATGATTCAAAGGTCCTGAGTAAACTGCTGAAAGAAGAATCCTGTGTCGTGTTTCCTTTGCCGGCGAGGGGTCGTGACAGCTTTTTAGTTTAAATCCATCCCATTTATTGATTCTTTATATTAATTCGTGTGCTATAGGAGTCTTATTAAGGAAGTCAAGGTCCAATATGACATGATGGAGATTCCAGCCTACTTTTTCTTCTTAATAGGCACAGTGTCTCTGGTTTAATTCCTAGGTTCTCAATCCAGTTTGAATGGAGTTTTGTGCATGGTGAGAGATAGTGGTTTAATTTCATTTTGTTGCACATGGATTTCCAGTTTTCCCAGCATCATTTGTTGAAGAGGCTATCTTTTCTCCAATGTATATTTTTGGTGCCTTTGTCTAATATAAGACAATTGTAATTTTGTGGATTAGTCTCTGTGTCCTCTATTCTGTACCATTGGTCTACCAGTCTGTTTTGGTGCCAATACCATGCTATTTTTGTTTCTATTGCTCTGTAGTATAGTTTAAGGTCTGGTAGAATGATGCCATCTGCTTCACTTTTCTTGCTAAGGATTGATTTAGCTATTCTGGGGCTCCTTTTTTTCTAGATGAATTTCATGACTGCTTTTTTATTTCTATAATGAATGTTATTGGGATTTTGATTGTAATTACATTAAATCTGTATAGTACTTTTGGTGGTATGGTAATTTTGACCATATTAATTCTGCCTATTCAAGAACAAGTAGATCTTTCCATATTCTAAAGTCTTCTTTAATTTCTTTCTTTAGCATTCTGTAATCTACATTATATGGATCTTTCACCTCGTTTCTTAAGTTGATTCCCAAGTATTTAATTTTTTCTGAGGTTATTGTAAATGGAGTAGTTTTCCTTATTTCCTTTCTGAGGATTTGTCACTGAAATACAGAAATGCATTTGATTTATTGGTGTTGATTTTATATTCTGCTACTTTGCTGAATTCATTTACTATTTCTAGAAGTTTTCTGGTGGGAATTTTAGGGTCTTCTAGGTATAGAATCATATCATCAACAAATAGTGCCAACTTGAGTTTTTCTAAACCTATGTGTATCATTTAATTTCTTTCATTTGTCTAATTGCTCTGGCCACTGTTTTAAGAACTATGTTAAATAGAAGTGATGAAAGTAGGCACCCCTATCTTCTTCCAGGTTTTAGAAGGAATGCCTTCAATTTTTCTCCATTTAGAATGATGTTTACCTGGGGCTTAGCATAGATAGCCTTTATGATGTTGAGCCATGTGCCTGTTATCCCTAATTTGTTTGAGTGTTTTGAACATGAAGCAATGCTCTAATTTGTCAAATGCTTTTTCTGCATTTGTTGAGATGATGATATAGTTCTTATCTTTAAGTTTATTGATGTCATGGATCAAATTTATTGATTTTCTTATGTTGAACCAAACTTGCATCCCTGGAATGAATCCCACTTGATCGTGGTGCATGATCTTTTTGATATGTTTTTGTATTTGATTTGCCAGAATTGTATTGAGAATTTTTGCATCTAACTTCATTAGAGATATTGGTCAGAAGTTTTCTTTCGTTAATTTGTCTTTGCCTGGTTTTGGAATCAGGATGATATTGGCCTAATAGAATGAGTTTGGAATTTCTGCCTCTTTTTCTATCTCCTGGAGTAATTTGAAGAGTATTGCTATTAGTTCTTCTTTAAAGGTCTTGTAGAACTCAGCTTTGTATCCATCTGGTCCTGGGCTTTTCTTGGTTGGTAGTCTTCTGATGGCATCTTCAATTTAACCCTTGAAACTGACCTGTTTAAATTGTGTATATCTTCCTGATTCAATTTGGGCAAATCATATGACTCTAGAAATTTGTCAATGCCTTTGATATTTGCTATTTTATTGGAGTATAAGTTTTAAAAATAATTTCTAATTATCTTTTATATTTCTATAGTGTCTGTTGTGATATTTTCTTTTATGTCATGTGCATTAGTAATTTGAGTTTTCTCTCTCCTTGTCTTTGTTAGCATGCCTAAGTGTCAATTTTATTTATTTTTGGAAATAACCAACTTTTTGTTCTGTCAATTTTTTTCAATTGTTTCTTTTGTTTCAATTTCATTGATTTCAGCTCTGATTTTAAGTTCTTGTCTTCTGCTGCTTTTGATGTTTATATGTTCTTCTTTTTCTAGGGTTTGAGGTGTAATGTTAGGACATTTATTTGTTGAATTTTTCTTCTTTGAAGGAATGAACTCCATGAAATGAACTTTCCTTTTAGTACTGCCTTCATAATGTCCCAGAAATTTCAATATGTTGAATCTGTATTCTCATTCACCTCTAAAATTTTTCTAATATCCTCCTTGATGTCTTCTTCAACCCATTGTTCACTCAATAACATATTATTTAGTCTCCAGATGTTGGAGTGGATTTTATTTCTTATTTTATCATTGATTTCTAATTTCATTCCATTATTATCTGATAGAACAAAGGGTGGACTCAACATCTTTGTTTGTATGTGGTGCTGAGGATGGAACCCGGGCTGCAAACATGCCAGGTGAGCACGCTATGGCTTGAGCCACATCCCCAGGCCCTTCTGATGATTTTCATCATTGTGTTTTATTTCCTCTTCTTGGAATATTTTGCTGAGGATGTTCTGTAGTGAAGGCTTTCTAGTTGTAAATTCTTTTAATATTTGTTTATCATGGAAAGTGTTTATTTCATCTTCAAATCTAAAGCTTAGTTTTGCTGGATATAAGATTCTTGGTTGCAATCCATGTTCTTTAAGAACTTGGTATATATTGTTTCATAGTCTCCTGGCTTTGAGGCTCTGGGTTGAAAAATCTGCTGAGATACAAATCGGTCCCCCACTATATGTGATCTGATTCCTCTCTCTTGTGGCTTTTAAGATTCTATCCTTATTTTGTATGCTGGACATTTTCATTATAATGTGCTTTGGTGTAGATCAGTTGTAATTTTGTACATTTGGTGTCCTGTAAGCATCTTGTATTTAGTTTTCCAATTCATCCTTCATGCTTGGGAAATTTTCTGATATTATCTCATTGAAGGGATTATGCATTCCTTTAGTTTGAAACTCTTTGACTTCCTCTATCCCAGTAACTCTTAGATTTGTTCTTTAGATGCTATCCCATAATTCTCAGATCATCTGCTCATGGATACTTATCATCTTCACTGTGTGTTCAATTGTATTTTCCAGATTGTATACTCTGTCTTTATTATCTGACATTCTGTCTTCCAAGTGACTTAGTCTGTTAGTGATGCTTTCTATTGAGTTTTTTATTTGATTTATTGTTTCCTTCATTTCAAGGAGTTCTGTGTTGTTTTTTTTTTAAGAATCTCTCTCTTTTTTTTTTTTGGTACTTGTATTTGCTCCCTTATCTTTTGTTGGTGTGATCAATAGATGCCTGTATTTGCTCCTTTATCTGTTTATTGGTCTCATTCATGGTTGACTGTGTTTGCTCTCTTATCTCCTTGTTGGAGTGATCAATATTTACCTGTATTTGCCCATTTGGGTCATTTTTTAATTCACATATCATTTTAATTATGAACATTCTGAACTCCTTCTCTGGGCTCTCAGGTTTTGGTGGTGTGGATGTACCCAAGCTTACCCTGGGCCCTGGCTGCCTCACAGGTTATCGAGGCTGTTTTGGGCAAAGCCTGAGCTCTGGTGGGTGTCTGCCAGAGGCTGGATGGACCCGGGCCTACCCTGGGCCCTGGCTCACACCCAAGTTGACAAGGCAGATCTGGGCCAGGTCTGAGCCCTGGTAGGGCTGTGTCAGTGGCTAGATGGACTCAGACCTACCCAGGCCCTGGCTCTTGTTCAGATTGGCAAGGTGGTACTGGGCTGAGCCTGAGCTCTGACAGTGGGTGGAACTGGTCCTGGCATGAGTCTGAGTTCTGGTGGGTGGCTTAAGGTTTATGTTTTGTGTATCTTTGCTTTGTGTCTCATTTTTCCATTGGCTCACTTTGGGATTCTACTATAGTATCATTCCACAGAGGATGAAGAGGGGAGACAACCACTTCCATCTCACCTCCACTCCATCCTTACGCCTTCTGGGTTGATTCTCTGCCTAATACTCATGTGCATTGCTCTGTTACTCTGCTTACATGTTGCTTTATGGTTATCTATTTCTGTGAAGTCCCTCTGGGGTTAGCTGCTTTAGATCAGAGACTAAACATTAGGTATTGTTGTGCAGTAGATACTGTTGAGGTCCACCTGCATCTCCTGTGTCATTCTAGTGTACTTACACCCCAGATAGCAATGGATGTTGCTTGTTAATTTTATACCTGAAATCTCCCCAGAGGGATTTTTCTTGCCTGATAGAAAACACCTGGTCTGGAGAAGCTTAAGAGTTTACATTAGCTTCCACCCATCCTCCCCCACAGAGCCCATAACTGTGTGATAGCAGGTGTATCAGCCCAGCACTCTTGCAAATGGGGAGGATAATCTGGTAAAATTCACTCTTCACAGGGCCCTAAGAAATCACATCATTGCCTCACTTCTTTACCTA